ACCCCTAAACCCCTAAACCCCTAAACCCCCTAAACCCCTAAACCCCTAAACCCCTAAACCCCTAAACCCCTAAACCCCTAAACCCCAAAACCCCAAAACCCCTAAACCCCTAAACCCCTAAACCCCTAAACCCCTAAACCCCTAAACCCCTGAACCCCTAAACCCCTAAACTCCCCCCCTAAACCCCTAAACCCCTAAACCCTCAACCCTAAACCCCTACACCCCTCCCTCAAGCCTGTTTTGCTCCAGGGGCCTGGCAAGCTTGGAACGTCGGCACCGAGGCCATTCGGGAGATATGGCCTTCATGTCGAGGGGCGAATCCCCTTGGGTCTGAGTGCAGAGTTACTAGGGTTTAGGGTTTAGGTTTAGGGTTTAGGGTTTAGGGTTTAGGGCTTGGGGTTTAGGGTTTAGGGTTTAGGGTTTAGGGTTTAGGGTTTAGGGTTTAGGGTTTAGGGTTTAGGGGTTCAGCCAGTTCAGGCGGCCCCGACAGAGTTTCAAGGCTTGTGCTTGCCCTAACCACTGCATCTTCCTGAACCTTGAGCCGTATGGAAGCCCGAAGCGCGAAGCCCTGAGAGACTTGTTCGGATGGCCTTTGTTCCGCTATGCGGTTTAGGGGTTTAGGAGTTTAGGGGTTTAGGGGTTTAGGGGTTTCGGGGTTTAGGGGTTTCTAGGGGTTTCTAGGGGTTTCTAGGAGTTTCAAGGGGTTTCAAGCGGTTTCAAGGGGTTTCACGGGGCTTCACGGGGCTTCACGGGTTTCACGGGTTTAGGGGTTTAGGGGGTTTAGGGGGTTAGGGGGTTTAGGGGTTTAGGGTTTAGGGTCTGAAGAACTACGACGCGTGTGATTTTTGGGTTTGTTTGGGGGCGGGAGGGGGGAAGCGAGATCTGGGAAGCAATTGTCTCTGCCTGGCTGGTTTAGGGTTTGGGTGTCGGGGTTTGGGGTCTAGGCTCGCATAGCAGGTCCCACTGCCTGTTTCCATGGCTGCCCTAGCACAACCTCCGAAGCCATGTACACGCTCCATGTGCAATCGCAGCATTTTGGCTGACACAACGCGGCAGAGGTGGGCGGCGAAAGCTTGAAAACACACAGGATGACCCCAAAAATTCTACTTCCTTGGCTTCCGCACCTCTTCTTACGTAGGGGATCGCTCGAATTCAGAGCCTTGGGGGGTCACTCAGGCAAAAAGGGGCTGAGTTTTTGACGCAGAGCCATGAATGCCCATGGCCTTGCAATGCAGTGGAGGCCTCAGAATCAGAGCTCAGGCTTGCCATCCCGCGCCCTACCCTCAAACCCTCAAACCCTCAAACCCTAAACCCTCAACCCTACACCCTACACCCAACCCTAAACCTCAAACCCTAAACCCTGAACCCTAATCCCTAAACCCTAAACCCGAAACCCCTAAACCCTAAACCCCTAAACCCTAAACCCCTAAACCCTCAACCCCCCAAAGGCGCCGGAAAGCTAGAACGCCCAGGCCCTGCGTCGTGCAAAGAGGGCCAGCCTCTCTGCACAGGTGCGCTTTCGGGTTTCGGTTTCAGGTTTAGGGTTTAGGGTTTCGGGTTTGTGGCTTAGGGTTTAGGGTTGGTACCGCGATTTTGGGGGATGCCGGTTCTCAGAATACGGATATTGGGGCACGGAAGCCCCTTGTATGGAATAATCCTGATCCCCAAGATCCACAACCTAAAGCCCCAAACCCCACACCCCCCATTGTGGCACCCCTCCCCCTAACACCCCCTTGAAAAACCCCTGAATCCCTTAAGCCCGTGCCGCTAAAGCCAGTTTCTACATCTCAGATAGCTTCTTCCCCCTGCAAACCCCAACGCCCTAAGTAAAACCCCCCAACCCCTAAAGAGCCTCGAAAGCTCCCAAAGCTCCTGACCCCAAAATCCTGGAACCCTAAACCCCAAAACCCTGAAACCCCGAAACCAACAAGCCCCTGCAACTTGAAAACCTGAAAAGCAAAAAAGCCTAAACCCTAAACCCTAAACCCTAAACCCCTCCAAGCCTTAAATCCCTAAACCCGCCCTAAAACCCTAAACCCCCCAAAAGCCCAGAAGCTCGCCAGGTCCTCCCCTGGATTTCTCGCCGCTCCGAAGCAGCTCCCGGGCTCCAGGTGGGGAGCTTCAGCAAGGGCTTGAGAGAGGAGCCGATTTAGGGATTTTAGGGTTTAGGGTATTTTTAGCGTTTAGCGCATTTAGGGTTTAGGGCTGTTAGGGTTTAGTGTTGTGTTTGGGTTTTAGGGTTTAGGGTTTTTGGTTAGGGGTGTAGGAGGTTCGTGCTCCATGGGTTGAGAGGATTTATGGTTTGGGGTATGGGCGGGGATGCGAGATGGAGGGTTTCGAGGGCTTTAAGGGTTTGAGGGCGTTTTCGGGTTAAGTTTAGGGTAGGAGTTTCGTCGGGTCAGGGAGAAGGGCTCGAGCTTGGGGCGTGTGAGGTGCGTACCTTCATGCTACCGATGCAAAGGGGCTTGCACGGATGACTTTGACGTCCCAGAAACGAAGCGGAAAGGCCGGAAACCCCTAAACCGTCCCCAGCAAATTCGAAGGTTGGAGCCATGGGCCCTTAATCTGGCCCCTTACCCTTCTTTATAGTCATCGGAAGTATGGGCCCTCAGGATGTAGAGTGTACATAAGGGTTACATAACAAGAGGCCCAAAAGAAGGGCCCAGACTTCGGATCCGCCTAGCAATGGCAGGTTGCCAACCGCCCGCTGGCGGAATGAGCTCTCCTGCCAAAGCCGAGCCGCTGCCTTGGACTGCCGGAGGGGAGTTTGACCCTAAACCCTAAACCCTAAACCCTAAACCCTAAACCCTAAACCCTAAACCCTAAACCTTAAACCCTAAACCCTAAACCCTGAACCCTAAACCCTAAACCCTAAACCCTAAACCCTAAACCTTAAACCCTAAACCCTAAACCCTAAACCCTAAACCCTGGAGTTATGGTAATTAGGGTTTGGGGTTTAGGGGTTTGGGTTTAGGGGTGCAGGGTTTGGTGTTGTTGGTGTAGGGTTTAGGGTTCAAGGTTTCGGGGGGTGAGGTGCCGTGTTTGGCCGGTTTTGTGGTTTCGAGGCGGTGTGTTGAGGAAACCCTTCCAGGAGGTTTTTTTTGAGCGAGCGAACCCTGACTTAAACCCTAAACCCTAGACCCCAATCCCTAAACCCCTAGACCCTGAACCCAAAATCCTAAACTCTAAACTCTAAAGCCCTAAGCCCTAAGCCCTAAGCCCTAAGCCCAAACCCCAAAACCCAAAACCCAAAACCCTAAACCCTAAACCCTAAACCCTAAACCCTAAACTGAAGGGTGCCCTAAAGCCCTAAATCCTCAGAGAAGGTCCGGCCAGTACGGTCAAGCGCCAGCACAGTGCTCACGAGGCGCTCTGCTGAGTCTGGGTGTAGGGTTCGGGGTTCAGGGGTTTAGGGTTTCGTGTTTTTACCCTAAACCCTATACCCCAAACCCTGAACCCTAAAACCTAAACCCTCATCCCTGAGCGCCAAAGAGGGGCACCTCAACACCCCTAAACCCCTAGACCCCTAAATCCCTGAACCCCGAAACCCCGAAACCCCTGAACCCCTAAACCCCTAAACCCCTAAACCCCTAAACCCCCGAACCCCTAAACCCCTAAACCCCTAGACCCCTAAACCCTTAAACCCCTAAACCCCTAAGCCCCTAAACCCCTAAGCCCCTAAAACCCTAAACCCCTAAACCCCTAAACCCCCAACCCAAACCCTAAACCCTAAACCCTAAACCCTAAACCCTAAACCCTAAAACCCCTAAACCCCCCGAGAGGCCGAAGACGGACTCTGCGGTGAAGTCGCGCCTCGATGACATCTTCGCCGCGGCGCTGGTGGTGGGCACTGGCGTTGGAGGTGGAAACCCTAAAACCCTAAACCCTAAACCCTAAACCCTAAACCCTAAACCCTAAACCCTAAAACCCTAAAACCCTAAAACCCTAAAACCCTGAACCCTAACCCCTAAACCAAAAAAACCTAGACCCTAAACCCTTAAACCTTAAACCCAAAAAACCCTAAACCCTAACCCCTGAACCCTAAACCCTAAACCTGACATGTCCTGACATGTAAACCCTGAACCCCATGGGTGGCTTGAGGGTTTGGGGGCCTCTCAGTGTTTGATGCTTGGGTTGGGGTTTGGGATTCAGGGAAGCTCCCCCTAATCTCAAAACCCTCCCGCAATGGGACCTTGGAGGTGCAAATTTAGGGGGGTTTAGGGTTTAGGGTTTAGGGTTTAGGGTTTAGGGTGGCTATTCCCTAAAGCTTCAACCCCAAACTCCGGACCCTAACATCCCCAAACCCTGACTTTGAAACAATCCGGAGGTGGCTTCCTGGCAGTGCCCTACACCACAGCAGCAGCAGGTGGGGTTGGGACTCCTTCGGGTTTAGGGTTTAGGGTTTAGGGTTTAGGGTTTGGGGTTTAGGGTTTAGGGTTTAGGGTTGAAGAGCGGTTTGGGGGCAGGGTTTGGGATTGAGGGTTTTGGGGAGACTTGCCGAGCCGATCAAGGGGTTGGGGCTCGTTCGGGTTTAAGGCTTAGGGCTTCGGGTTTAGGGTTTAGGGTTTAGGGGTTAAGGCTTAGGGCTTAGGGTTTAGGGTTCAGGGTTAGGGTTTAGGATGAAGTTTTTGGCCCTAAACCCCAATCTGGCACTTGCCAGCTGGTCAAGATTAACGCCGGAGACCTCTTGTCAATTGGTTCATATATGAATATCCCTGTTTTCGTGGTTATTGGTGAGTTTGTGCTTCAAGGCTGCCGACTAGGTCGAAGCATGGCGCGCGTCGAGTGTCGCTTCACCTTTCTTGACGTGCTCCTGGAGGACGAGGAGCGGGGCAAAGACCTTCGTGCCGGGCGTGCTCGCAGTGAGCCGCCGCTTTGCCCGGAGATTCCGGAGTCGCCACGCAGCTCTGAGGAGGCCCTGAGGCGTTACGTGCGCCCTCTGCCGACGGTGGCCTTGGGTCAGGTGCCAGCAGCCTTGGTGCCGGCCGCGCCCAGGGTGGATGAAGCACGGAAAGAAGCGCCGCCAAATCTGGAGACCTCGGAGGCCCTCGGAGGCCTCGGAGGCCTGGGTGCTGAGTGCTGGGAGCTTGGGGCATCCGGAGCTTTGCCAGCGCCCGTGCTTGCATGTCGTGGTCGGGAGGCACTGTGAGGCGGGTGATGCATGCAACCATTGCCACCTTCCGCACGGCCGAGGCCAGAAGATGGACAAGCGGCAGCGCCGCATCCTCGAAGAGATGCCCAAGGCCGACTTCCTCCGTTTGGCCCTCCAGCTGCTCGAGGACAAGGCCCGCACCATGGAGCTTGGTGGCACGGAGGTTCTCTTCGGCATCTTGGAAGGCGAAGTGCATCCTCCAGGCACGCCGGCGCCAGCTGGGGCCCCCTCATGCAGCCTACCGAAGGGGATGATGCGCTGCTTGCGCGCCATGGGCTTCCGCAACGTGGCAAGCCTGGCTGCGCGGAAGTGCGCGGAGGGTGCCAAGATCCGTATCCGTGAGGCGATGCAGGCCTTGCGGGCGCGTGTGTCTGAGGGGCAAGCTGATGCAAGCTATTCAGACTCAGATGAGACATGTTAAGTAGCATCTTCTAGTGAGGGACTGCACGGCATGAAAGACTCTTCCAGCACGCTAGATGTCCACCGTCGCAGTGCTGCCAGCCGATATTCAGCCGATATTCGGGGCGTCCCAGTTGTCAGACAGACAGACAGACATTTTGTTTCACACACAACCTCGGACATACAGTCCAATACATCATTGAGTAACAGGTCAATACAGCTGCAAGAGCTTGAGCAACACTCCAATAATACATCTGCGAGAGCTCGAGCAGCGACTTTGTGACACACAGCTGTAGTGGGAGGAAGCTCGGAGGGCGGTCTCCAGATCTATGCTTAGAACATGTGTTGTGGCAGCTTCGCTGTTTGTCGGCTTCTGCTTCCACCTAAGTCACCCTTCGCACATGTCGACCCAGTAGTGGCGTTTGCCAGACGCGCAGGACCGAGCTGCGTCCTCGACGCCTGAAAGGCTTCGTCTGGGCTCTAGATTAGGATGCCATCTATTTGCCATAATACCCCACGATGTGAACCGTACTTTGAAGCTCCTTCACACGAGCCCAGTTATTTCTCAAGTTTTTCGACGGAGATGAGTCCTGGCTGAGATGATCGTGCCCCAGAGGCCGTTGTTGAGTATTTAAATGCAGGAAAAGTGCGCGAGTGTAGCAGCATTTCTTCTTTCACTGTTCAGGGTTTTGAGTTTTTCTGAGTGCCGAACTTAGGGTTTTGGCTTTTACGACTTTGCTTAAACCCTGAACCCTAACCCCTAAACCCTTTGAACCCTACACCCTAAACCCTAACCCTAAACCCTAAACCCTAAACCCTAAACCCTAAACCCTAAACCCTAAACCCTAAACCCTAAACCCTAAACCCTAAACCCGAAGCAAACTTCCCTGAGGATGCTTGCCATCCTCGCTGCTGAATCTTGGCGGCAGGGTCCACCCTCGTGGGTTGAAGGTGTGAAGGTTAGGGTTTAGGGTTTAGGGTTTGGGGTTTAGGGCTTAGGGTTTAGGGTTTAATTAGGGTTTAGGGTTTAATTAGGGTTTAGGGTTTAGGGTTTAGGGTTTAGGGCTTAGGCTTTAGGGTTTAGGGTTTAGGGTTACGCGCAAGGCTTTGGGTTCCGGGCTTTGGGGTTGCAGGGAAGATCGCGCCTCAGCCTTAAACCTCCAAGCTACCTAAACCGCCCTCAAACTGAAGCCCCCACCCAACCCCCAGCTCTAAACCCTCTAAGCCCTGTAGACCCTCTAAACCCTCCAAGCCCCCAAACCCCAAACCCTAAACCCTCAACCCTAAACCCTAAACCCTAAACCTCAAGCCCTAGCCCCAATGAAACCTAAGCCACGGAGCCTTCTGGCATTCAGGATGGTCGGGCTCTGGTGCTTCATCCTCGCCCAGCCCGGCGCAAAGAGAGCACCGGGTTTAGGGTTTAGGGTTTAGGGTTTAGGGTTTAGGGTTTAGGGTGTAGGGTGTAGGGTGTAGGGTGTAGGGTGTAGGGTGTAGGGTTTAGGTTTTAGGGTTTAGGGTTAATGCTTAAATGTAGAGCAAACAATGAAGCAGCCCTCTTCGAGCAGAGCACACGAAGTGCTTTTGCCCTTCTGTTCGGGGACTTTGGGGGGTGCAGAGTTTGGGGTTTAGGGTTTAGGGTTTTGGGGTTAGGGTTTAGAGTTTGGGGTTGCCGGGTCTCCTGGTTCTTGAGTGTGCCAGTTCGGGGTGGGGTGGTCCTCACGAGAATAACGCGACCAGGCATATACAATTTCAGTTATTTTAAACCGTAAGCCATAAACCCCAAACCAGAACGGTCATCGTTTCGACTCCTTATGGCTTTAGCGTTTAGGGTTTAGGGTTTCAGGGCTTAGGGTTACTAAACCCAAAACCTAAACCCTAAACCCTCAACCCTAAACCCGGGCTTAGGTCACGGTTGCTTCTTGGTCACATGTTGTCGATGCCAGCATCTAGCACACCCCCTTCACAACTGAGACAGGGTTTCAGTCAACCAAAGCTCAGCGAAACCCCTGAAACCTACAGCCCGACACCCTTGAAACCCCAAGCCTGAACCTTCGACCCTCTAAACCTGTAAGCCCTTGAAAAGCCCTAAACCCGAAACACTCTAAACCCTAAACCCGAAACCCGAAACCCGAAACACTCTGAACCTTAAACCCTAAACCCTAAACCTTAAACCCTAGACCCTAAACCTTAAACCCGAAAACGCCCCAGACCCCTCCCAGGGCCGTCATCGTGGTGGACGTCATCATCCAGGCCTCGCGCAAAGCTGGGCGGCCGGTCAGTTTCGCCACTGTGGCCGGAGAGCCTCCCGGCCTTGGGTTTGGGGTTTAGGGTTTAGGGTTTAGGGTTTAGGGTTTAGGGTTTGGGGGGTGTTTGAGGGTTGTTAGGACTTAGGGGGTCGAGGGTTTTGTGGTTTAGGGTTGGAGGGTGGAGGGTAGAGATTTCGGGGCGCTGTTGGGTTGAGGGTTTTAGGACTTGAATTTGTTTTGTTTTTCTTGTTTATCTCTTTTCTTTTTTCTTCTTGGGGTGGGGGGGGGGGAGGTAGTGGATTCCGAAGCTCCACTCCTCCTGAAGCGCCAGGAAGTTCAGGGCAGAAGGGGTGAAGGGTTGGGCGCAGGCCTTTATGAGATGGGAGAAAGACTATCAGTCCCAAAAGAATTCCAGTATACCCGGAACCCTAAACCCTAAATCCTCAACCCTAGACCCTAAACCCTAAACCCCAAAACCCTCTTCAACCCACGGAGCACCAACACTGAAGGACCTTTGGGCCCGTTGGTGCAGCTGCAGTCTGTTGCCTGTTTCTCATGCTCATGCTGCGGCTCGGCACCCCCCAAAGCCTTGGGAGTCTTGGGAGTCTCGGGGCTTGGGTTTGGGTTTAGGGTTTTGGGTTTAGGGTGTAGGGTTTAGGGTGGGGTAGGGGTGTTGCGGTTCAGGTTTTGGGGTTTCTGGCTTAGGGTGGCATGAACCCAAGCAGTGAAGGCCTCGGGTGTCGGAGACTTGAAGCCCCAAACTTCTGCCTCACTTCCCCTAGAATTTGGAGAGGCCCTAAAGCCTAAACCCTAAACCCTAAACCCTAAACCCTAAACCCGAAACCCCTGGGACCCTGAGGTTGACGCACGTCTCCCAGTTCGCCAAGGGTGGGGAGCTCATAGCTTCGATGCTCCTTGGCAGGCACTTGTCAGTGGTTACCTGGCTTAGGGTTTAGGGTTTAGGGTTAGGGTTAGGGTTCAGGGTTCAGGGTTCAGGGTTTAGGGTTTAGGGTTTAGGTTTTAGGGTTTAGGGTTTAGGGTTTAGGGTTTAGGGTTTAGGGGTTTATGCATGCATCCTTGCGGATAGTTCCGAAGCATCCACTTGAGAACTGACTGCATAACCGAAACTTGCAGCTCCTAGCACGCCTGCCTGTGGGCTCGCTTGTGAGCGTTCAAGATCTCATGAGGGGACCGGAAGGGAATCTGTGCAGCCACCGGTTTCTGTACTACTGTTTGCCCCTGCTTGAGAACTTGCCGATACATCCAACCGGTGAAAAGCCGAAATGAACTCTGACAAGCCTCCCCAAAGTAGCAGAGTCAGTGCGGGCACCTTGCATGGTCCATGGGCACTCACACACAGAAAACACAGCACGAATCACGTGCGAAAAAGCCAACAGTCGCACCGTCAAGGGCTGGGCACACAAAGATATCTGTGGATACTGCACCTCATGCACCCAGCCCGCTTTGGCAAAAATGACCCTTAGACCTGCAGGTTTGGAAGCAGCCTCCCAGCTGGCCAGGTTTACAGGGGCGAGCCAATCCGTCTCCCCAGCGAAAAGACCCAGCAGCATTGTGAACACCAGGCCAAGAGTAGCTGCGCAAAAGGCGCATAAAGGAAAAAGGTATCCCAGCTAGGGAGGCAGGCCCCCGGAAAACAACCAACCCCACACTAGCAGCCATCATCCAACTCTATCTTGAAATTGGGCTTGCAAAGGTTGCAAAGAACGATCACAAAGCAGGGCATGCGGGGTCTGCTTCGGTGTGCGGGACCTGGATTGAAAAACAGCTTCAACCCCTCAGTGCAACTCATGAACCAAACGCTGCACGCTGTAGTGCGGTCAAATGCTTGAACTGCGTTCCGGTGGTGCTGCATAACACGGCAGTCTTTTTGCAGGAAAACTGCTTTAGCAAATCCATCTGCAATTTCACTATGATACCATAGCCAAGCAAGTCTTCATGATTTTCATTTTCATGACTTGCCAAGAACCAAGGCCTTGCAAAAGGGCTGCAAGGATTTGCAAGCCGTCTAAGTTGCCGTGCTGTGGCCGCGCAAGTGCATCAAACCCATACTTTTAAAAGCAAGCCAAAACCAGCAACGGAAACTTTTGAATCAGAGTAGATAGCACCCCCATCCCCAAGAAGGAACTGCCGCCAGCACTCCATAAAGTTCCGCCCTGTTGTTGGTGTGGCGGGACAAAAACATTTACCTTCCCAGGCTCTGCAAGTACGATAGCCCAGGCAGACAGGCTGAGAATGGAGTTCTTAGGTTGCTGTGAAGACTCGTCTGTAAGCAGATGAGCCTCCTGACCTACGAAAAGTTTAGGGAAGGCTTCCACTTAAGATCACGCAGAAGGGTGTGGTACTGTTCAACTTCAGGTGGGGCCTTAAACAGGCCTAATTAGGGTTTAGGTTTGAGGGCTTAGATGGAGTTTAGGGTTTAGGGTTTAGGAGGGGGGGGAGGAGGAAGAGGAGGAGTAGCACCCTAAACCCTAAACCCAAAAACCTTGAGGCGCCAACCCCCTACATCAAGGCCAGTTCCACGTGGGCAGCTTCTCCCAAATTCCCGCGCAAATAGTCCATCTCGGCCCGAAGGCCCAAAGCGCTCACCCGTCCCGATCTACTGTAGGCCGCCAAGACCCTAAACCCCCCACACCCCAAACCCCAAACCCCAAACCCCAAACCCCAAACCCTAAACCCTAAGCCCTAAACCCTCAGCCCTAAACCTTGAACTATCCATCTTAGGCTACACCTCCCTCACGCTGCCGGGGTGCTCCTG